TATATATATATATATATAAACATCTTCAGAAACATAGACGAGCCTAGCATATACAAACTTCAGGCAGAGCAGGGAGCATACAGTTGGTTCGCAAACCAAAACATTGAATTAAAAGCGACAGAAAACTGGTATGAGTTGTAGACTGGTGTGTCGGTCATCAGTGCTATTGGCACATGCAACTCATTTAATTATCCAGAAGATCCAACATATTACTTGTGTAGCTGTAAACATAAACATTAGGTTAGATTTTGATGCTTCTGATTCTCGATGGTCACTTACAGAGAATATGTTCCTATTGTTTTTTCTTGCTCCAGCTACAGCTACGAAGTGTAACAAGCTCAGGCCATTTACTGGCTCGAGAGGTATGTGAAGTGTGGGGGGAAATCAATAGTTGAAGTGTGTCTTTTGAAGGTTCATCTTAGTCATCCAGGTGGATTCAACTTTCTCCACAGAGGAGTTGAATTGCAGTCGATGAGGCAAGTTGAGAAACTGTAACTGAACACTAAATAATCCTCAAAACAGACAGTACATTATAAAATGCTGATTTATTTGTGTTTGTACATTAATGTGTTTACATCCGTGTAATTGTCTTCGTCCTCTCTCCAGCGACTCACCCTGCTGCACGTGAACAGCAACCAGTGTTTGGACATGCCGTCTGAGGAGGACAAGATGGTGCCCACCCTGAGAGACTGCAACGACAGCCGCTCCCAGCAGTGGCTGCTCCGTAACATGACCCTGAGTGTCTGATCCCTCACCTCGCCTCTTCCCCCCGCCACTCTGTCCTCATCCTAACCAGTCCTGGCTCTCCACGCCCTCACCAGGTGGCTCTAACCACACATCATACGCCGAAATATACAGAGATCCAGGCAGCAGCGGCTTATCTTCCATTAGGGAGACGTCTCCTTTTACAGCTCGCCACAGGTTTGAGAGCGGCTGCACTAGCCATTCAGGTGGAATGACGAGCTGTGGCTTTGGTGACCTTGTTGTGTCCAAGCAGGGAGAACGGTGTGTGAGGCCTCTGCATGGAGAACATTGAAATCTAAGCACTCAACAGTCGGCCAGCTGCCAGCCCGGCGTCCACTGTGCTGCTCAGACTGCTGCTTAGCTGCTGGACAAACAATTAAACAGAAGAGCATCTATACAAAGGATATCGCAAGGCCCATTTCTGCGATGGTCTGCACTGTAAATGACTACTTTTGCTGTGTACAGTGGGTTGGTTGGTTTCCACTGTAGGTACAATCTAAAAACAAGACTGTTGTTGTTATGACTGCTGCTCATCCTCTTTCCATATCAGTGTCTGTGTTACATTCAAATAAGATCGAAGTGATGTTAATAGAGCCCAACCAATGCTGAAGCTGATATCATAACATACTGTACTGATCATTTGGTTTTAAATTCTAACTTAAATTTAAATTGGGAGACATTTGGGAGGACCCATAAGTTTATATTCCACTTGGAAAGTGGAAGCTAGCTAGCCTGGAGCTAATTCCCTATATATGTTTTTTTTTTTGTTCATGTTAGTCCAGCTGACTGAACACGAAGGAGGGGTCTAACTAGCATTAATTGTCTCTTTTTAATGGATCTAGTTGTAGGAAATGGCCAGATTGTCAAAACTGATCCTGAAACTTCAGCACTCTGTCACACTGTCTACCCCCTGATTCGACCCACTACACGGAGTAACATACGGACTAACACAGTAGTTAAACAATGGAATCAAAGATGAGGCTAAACATGGGCTAACAACGCCGACTGTACCAAGACTGTCAGTAGCATAGACTGTGTATGGTTGGTACCAAAAATCACATCCCCTGGAAAACACTCATGTACAGTAGGGGGCGCTATCACTGCAGAAAAATAAATACAACTGAAAATGTATAATTTTTGGTAATTAACCAAATACGGATTTCTGAGCAAAGCTTGTTATTTCGGTTTAACTTTAACATAAATAATCATTAATTTTTCTTTAAATTTGGTTATTAAAAAATAAATATATAATATTTATATATAAATATAACAATATTATAAATATGTTCCAAACTACCTATCAGGGCTGGTTGACAAACAGTCGAACGCTATTTCTTAATCACCTAAAACATATCTTTGGCATTTCTTCACTGCAGTTTCTTGTTAATTATTGGTTGACATGTAGGCAGATAATAATATATCTGTGATAAGCTAATATCGGCCGATTTATTGGTTGGGCTCTCGTTAGTAAGGTGGATTTCAAACTAGACTGCAAGACACAAAAAGGAATTACAGTAGGTACAGTATGGATGAAAAATGTGAGGCAGCTCTTTCTACCGACATACTGTATGAACGTTTATTTATAACAGGCAAAGGAAGTAGCAAGTAATCAAGACTATGAGTAGATATAATTGATTTTAAATGAATGTAGGAGTTTTCCCTGAATGATAATGACTGTACTCTGAAATACTTTAACTGCACTGTTATCACGGCTATCCGAAAGCATCATTACTACATATACACTTACACAGGAACACTTCACACAATCAGTTTCTGAAAGTTTCCAGCTACAAAGATGTTGCCCACTTATTTTTAATATCTTAAGAAATCCTGATGTGTTGGAGCCGAATAGTGACGTGTGCCTTTAGAAAGTTGTTTTGTATTTGGTTTATTGATTTTTAGTTGATTTGATTATTTTGGTGTTGAAAAAGGAGAATGTTATGTCTTTTGTCATTTTGAGTAAAAAAAAAAAAATACTGCGAATGGATATTAAATAATTCTCATATCTCATAAATATGTCACAATCATATTAATTCTTGATCAAAGATTTAATTACAGTGAAGTAAGCGTTCAGTATATCAATACTCACCCATCACCCATGTGACAGGTACTTTTCACTACATCGTTGATCAGGATCAGGCAACAAATGTTGTACATAATGTTGTTAACATGTTTCTATCACCATTGTTGTTGTTGTACATACAGAACGAATTATTTTTCTAAGATGCTGTAAAAACTTGAACACTCCTCAGAGAAAAAGACATTGAATGGTAAAAAGATCATGAGGTATTGCAGTGTTATTTGGAATCGTGGTAATAAAAACCAGTGCTTACCTTGGGTTTTGAAATTGCGGTGTGTTTTGGAAATCATCATCGGCCCCACGAAACCAATTCTCAGACTACCTAAAGGACCTTAGGCGAGCATACATGAGGGAGCAACTAATGGTAAAATACTATCAATGCTGCTTGAATACTGAATCCTTGCCAAGTGCCTACTTGGCATTCAGACTAAAATTCAATCACCTCTTCCGTATTACGCACACACATTTATTGTTTTTCATTATCTTAAAGTGCATGGTGTTAAAATAGGAATGTAATGTTTCAGTGTACTGGTTGCAAAGTGATGTTACCTGTTTGTACATTTTGCCTTTTTTTTTTGTAGGAAAAAAACAAAACAAACTTTGAACTTAGATTTAGCATTAATTTCGGTGTCAAGCAACTGATGAAAATGTGAACACTAGCACATCAAACCAATACATCAGTTGTTTAATAAACCTTGTTCTTGAAGCTTTTAAGACCCCAGTACATCTCATTAACAGGCTTCAGTGTGTGGGCTTTTAAATGTGGTAAATTGCAGCCTCTCTTCCATGGCGACCATGGAACATGCGTGAGGACAGGATGCCATAAGAACTACATAGTAATGGATGTTCCTCTTTTGTTCGGTTTCTCTAAAGGCACCTGCCATTGTCAGCTGATGAAGGTGCCTCTGATACAGCTCTTTATTCTGTACATTTAAGCGAGGAAGGCTTGACCTTTCAGGTGACTCTGGCTTTGTTCAAATTTGAAAGGCAAGATGACTCTTCCTGAATGGGAGACAGGAGAAAAGGAGAGCTAAAGGGTCATTAGAGGGCAGTGGAGATGGCGAACAGGGATTATCCAGGTGACAATTAGAGTTGTGAATATTGTAGGACTGAAACTAATGATTACTTTTGCTACTGATTAATTTCCCAATATTTTAATCAACTGATTTATTGGACCAGGAAATTGGGAAAATCATTCGTTTCCAGAAATCTTCACATTGGTTGTTTTGTCAGACCGAAAATCCAAAACCCAGAGATATTCAGTTTAGATTGATATAAGACAGAAACAAACAACTATTTTAAGACATCTGAGGTTTAGAAAACAGCAAATGTTTGACATTTTTGCTTGAAGCCATTCATCATCGTTTATCAAACTTGGTGATTATTGATTTCTCTCAGTGGATTGATTAAAGAAATTGTTAGAGTTAGATGAAAAATCATACTTGCATGCCTGTACACTAAATATAAAGCTAAAAGGAGCAACTGTTCAGCTTAGCTTAGCATAAAGACTGGAAATGATTCGGTTAGCCTTGCCAACCATCACCTCTAAAGCTAACTAATTAGCATGTTACATCTTGGTTGTTTCAAACACAAAAGTGTAAATGACATGCTCTCTGTGTCGCCTTACTTTCAGTCCTAATGCTAAGCTAACCAGCTGCTTCTTGTAGCTTCATATTTAGTGTACAGACATGATGAATTCATCAGCTAACCATTTTAGCGATTCAATATTACAAAATTAACTTAATATTTATTTGGTTTATAGATTATTATTATTTTTAATAACTCACACTCTCATTGCATGTATACTGTATATTTCCATTCAAATATTTGTAAACCTCCCCAAGGTTGCCATTGCAGAGGTATTAATAGTTGTTGTGGAGCTGCCAACACATCAGCACCTCACCATACTCTCAGCAGGGGCCCTGACTGCGGTTTCTGCGGACAGTCTCACACCTATTGCAAAGCAAAACCCTGGCTGGTTAACTGGGCCAGTGAGGATAAGATAGTGGGTCTGTGGCTGGGCCAGGAGAGTCCATTAAGGGGTGAGATGCTTTAAAATAACAGCTCTAATGGAGGCCTTATCTGTGGCTCACTGTGGCTCTCAAAGGTAGTGCATGATCACATGGACACTGTACAGTTCTCGACTTTGTAAAGCACAGGCTTATGTAAAGGTCCAGTGTGTAACATTTAGGAGGATCTATTGGCGAAAAATGGAGTATAATATTCAAAGGTATGTTTTTGTTAGTGTATCACCTGAAAATGAGAATACTTGTTTTCATTACCTACCTTCGTAGCCTTCGTAACCGTTTTCATCTACAGGGCGAGTGGGTCCTCGTCTTCACATGTGGAACCACCACGTTCCTACAGTAGCCCAGAACAGACAAACCAAATATTGGCTCTAGATTGGGCCTTTCATATATGTTTGTGAGTTTTGTTGCCAACATATTCTCCTGATTGTTTGAAAGGCTGAGCTGTATTCAAATGGTTGAAATCTGTACCACAGCTGTCACTGAATCCTACACACTGGTCCTTAAAGCTCAGGAAATGTGTAACTGTGGATATGTCTTAAACCTTGGGTCTGATTCCCTTATTTTATTCAGTTAAGTTATTCATCTTATAATTAGTTTGAACAATTATTATAATAATTCCTATTATTGCAATTATTATAATTATTATTACTATTTGTTCTAACAATTTTCTTGCTCTTTAACACCTGAAGTGTTATTTTGCTCTTTGGCCTCATTCTGTGTCACTGATATTATAAATCAATGCATACAAAAGGTTATAGAAGTTTATGTTGCTTTATGTCACAGCAACCAATGGTGGAAGAAGTAACCTTAAGTAAAAGAACCAAAAGTGCAGATACAACAATGTAAAAAAAAAGGATCACAAGATAAGTCTGGGGAGTTGTGAGATGATTAATAGGTAAAGCACAAAATATTTCTTTTTTTATTTCATTTTCTCTTATCTTTGCTTTTTGTGAAATATTAGATAATTTTACCCTCCCATCTGAGAAGACCAGAGGGGAAATAATCATTTGGTAACTTGTTTTTCGTGTTTTATAAACTACTTTTATGTTGTTGTTTTTTTTATGTAGAGCCTTAATTTGAAAATTAACTCCAGCTTTCAAATAAATGAAGTGGGGTAGAAAGTACAGTATTTCCCTCAGAGATGGAGTAGAAGTAAAAAAAAATTGCATTACAATTGAAATACTTGAGTTATATACAAGAACCAGTACAGTAGTAGTAAATGTATGTACTTTCCAACACTGACAGCAACATGATGGTGCAGCTTCAGTGTGTCAGGTTCACTGCAGCAGAGCAATTCTCTCTGTGATACCGGCGAGTGCTGCTGACAGAATGATGAGAATTACATTTTCTGTACCAAGTGTTCAGTCAAATTATTTAAAAGCAGAGGTCATTAGTACAGTGGACCGCTGCAGGCTGGGCATACAGCCACACAAGACAATTACAGTGATTTGCGATGACTAATTTGTGTTTGGTAAGTGCCACTTATTTAGTAGTAACAACTATTCTGTGGGTAACAGTAAAATATGTACATCAACGTAAAAGATAATGAGTCCATGTTAAGAGGTCAATAAGGTTTGATTTTATGTGTTTGGGGTTTTACTGTTAATACTATATTCTGTAGCGTTTACAAGCAATAATATTTTAATTTAAAATTAAATCTGTATTACATATAAACATTTAAATCCAGGCAATGTAAAAAACACTACAATCACAAATTTAGCTCTTATCCAAGGCACCATTCAAGGACACAGCAGCAGGAATTGAACCTCTTACCTTCTGGTTATGTGACTATCTCTCTAACCTGTTTCTAATTGACCATGGTGACAAGAAGCTCTTAACGCTTTCGTGCTTCGACTTAAAATACAATGCTATACATTTTCTGTCCTATTTCTCTGGGTGTCTCCGGTGTACTTGATTGTATGGCGGTCTGGCTGTCTCTCCCTGCTCAATATATGGGGTTCCATCAACTAAGTGAATCCAATAATGAGTAGAGGCAAAGTGGGGAGGGAGAGGGGGATAATCAACCCCCCTGGATGTGCCTTTTCTTCTCGCTCGAGACCAGAGTAAAAATCCAGCACTTAATTGTTGAGAGGACCTGAAGTTCCAGAGCACCGGCACTGAAAAGCGGCTTTAATTAGACATGGTTCGAGGCCAGTATCTCAGTGGGGGTCAGATCTACTGCCATAGGAGGCACACACCCACACACACACATACACAGAATAATGTACAGTACCTGTCTTCAAATGTGCAGAGCCAGCCTAGGGATTCAACTGAGACATTTCTGATGTATGCTTGCAATCTCTTGAGTAATTTTTATTGATTTGCAGGGAGGAAGTGGCTCTAACAAGCTTCTCCTATGTGATAATCTCCTTTTAGCGACGCAAGCAGTGATTAGAAGGAGGGGCCCTGCTGCTTTCAGCAGTAATTGTATAGTAATCAATCATCAATCTCCAGGAGCTGTTCCACAACACACTCCTGTTCGGTTGCTATTTTTGACCACAGTGACAACTAATAAGGTCTTGCTTCAGCTGGGGAAAGAAAAACCAACAAACACCAGAACAATATTTCCATTTGCTTTTTAAGTGTACCTATTAAGTAAACCTATAATAACCCACTGAGCGTTCAGTTTGTTATTAAATGCTGCTGCTTCTTTCACAGTTATTCATAAACAGCTGTAATGTCCGTTGATTACCACAAGATGATGACAATCTCATATGTCCCTTGGAGGCTCCATATTTTGACCCAGTTGCTGTACCCCATGGAATCACTGGTTTAAAGATGTTGCTCATCCACCACATGGTTTCACATTACATGCCAAGCATGAAGGGAGCCTGTTAGTTCTTCAGCATCCAGTGAGCATGCCTCAGATCATGTTAAAACCTAATCGTTGGAGGGAGGGCAGGGAGAAAAATCACAGTCTCATGTCTTTCATGCGAAGAGGATTGTTTGTTTGAAATTCAAAAGTCAATATTGTTGCAGGAAAATAAGATTAAAGAGACTTTTTAAGCGAGGAAGTCGTACATTTGTGGGGGGAAATAGAAGAACAAATCCATCAAAGTCAACATCAAAGCGGAGGTGGTTTTCCCTGCTCTGTCTCTGATTGTAGAGATTATAAAGGAAGATGGAAAATTAGGGAAGATTGTCTGAAGTGATTGGCTGATCTTCTCGGAGAATGACCTCAAGTGCTATCCTGGCTGATTCAGAGAGGAGGACAAATGCATCTTGTGTCCTACATTGGTCTGATTAGATTAATAAATCAATCCCATCCCCACTTGCCCATCAGGTTTTGCCAGGGCTATTTTTACAAAATGGGTTACAGAAGATCAGAAAATAATTTCTTATCATTGACTCACGGCACTTTGACATGAGAATATAGAGCACGCTGATCAATGATGGTGATGGAAGAAGGTGTTTCATTGTGAATAAGCAGTCGTTTGTTGTCGCTGAAAAACCTTTTTACTTTGTAGAAGCAAAATGTGCAGTTTTTCCAAATCCGGCCAGTGTAAGAACTCATCTGCATATATTCCAATTCAGTGCACTGTGTTACACATCAGCTGCCTCCTGGTGTGTGACAAGAACAAGCCTGGACCTTAACCTCTTTCTTGTATTTAACTGTCAGTGACAAAGCCTATGTGTTGAGCAGAATTAAAAACATGTTTCTATGGGGTGGAAATCTTTGAATGATGGTTCAGATACGGGTTTCCATGGACATTACAATTCCCTTTACACCACATGCTATTTTATGTTTGTCTCTGTGATTGTTACTGATCCTGGAATGAAGTTTGTTGATACTGTTTGATACACATGAAAAATAACAAGATTTGAAAATGGAAATAAAGTGCATGTGACAATAATCAATTTCTGTCACTAGGTTTCTTACAAACATTTTCCCACTGTATCACTTAATACCCTCATAAATGTTTTTTATAGTCCCTCCACTCCAATGTTTTTCTTCTTGTTCCTACAGTTGGATGTTTGAGCTTCACTCTGCAGGATGATATATCTGCAGAGTTTGACAGTAGAAGGATNNCATTCATCTGCTGAAAGTAGAAAGTTTATCTGTGCTCATTAAAAATCTGATTTTTAGGGGCCAGCATGATTTATGACATCACAAATAGTTTGGAAGTCAGTCCTGGTCCAGTTTGTAAGTGTGATATAGAAACCTGAAGCCACTAGTGCACAAACACTGAGAATGGACTTTACAGTGAAGTAGGAGACATCTTGTGTCCAGCAGGAACATTTTAGAAATAAACAAAATGTGCATATTTAGCTTCTGGGATTTTAAATGAGGTAGAGGGAATAAATTACTTTTTAACGATTAATGTGGAAATTATACTTTTTTTTTGTGGAAAAAAAACATATCAGACACATTATTGTTCCAAGCAGACTATTGTATATATGTCTTAACACATGTGGGTATCGTTAATCAACATTTTTGGTTATTTCCCATGAGAGATTTCTGTTTCTCTTTTCTCTCTCTCTGCTCTTCTTGAAGTGGACGTGACTTAGTCAGGAAGCGGTGTTGTCACTTACTTACTGTGCACCAATCAGGATTCATCAACGTTTGAATGAGAATCTGATGACAGCTGCAGGGTTGTTTGGTCCCTGTCAATCAAATGTAATCAAACCAGTCCTGATGAAGCAAATAAGCTGATATTTTGACTGTTAAATTCTTGATAAATAACAGCTAAAGGTGTTTTTGTTTTTCAACTCTGATTGTTACATATTCAGTCATGAATATTTAATGATTTAGAGAAGAACTTTGATTTGAAGTTACTTTAAAACTCAAGAACACCAGATAGGATTGCAAACAGACTGTGTCGTCAACCAACCCACTGCATCCTGAACTTAATTGCTTTTTCTACATACAGGACAGACACTTTGACAAGAGTTGTTGGAAAAAACTTTTGTTTCAATGTATATCTGTGAAATACAGCAATTAAAAATTTCTAGCTCATGGTGCTGGCTGGCTGTTGGCCAGTCCAAACTAATAGCCTTATTTTTGCTCTGCAAATATGTGAATAGCCTTTTCCTTCTAATGAGGGCCAGAATGCATGGTGGATGACCCGTGTCCCCCTGCACTCATTATAAAAGCATAGAGTCCTGCAGAGGCTGTAGCTAATGTTCACCTGGCAATTATGACGGCCTGGTGACTGATGGGAAAATCTTTTCCTGTCGGTCCCCCCTCAGGAGGACTGAATCAAAGAGCCTCACAGACAACACTTGGAGGCACATCAACGTTGCACTGAGTTGCCATGCAATTGTTCATTTGGAAACGGTTATGTCAGGCCATCGTGCTGTTTTTAGAAGCTACAGTAGGGCATGCTGGGCTCAGACTGGACATGGAATATGATGCAGTAAACCACAGGGAGCTACAGGATAATAGGAGGTAGATTTCGCCTGGAACCAGACTGACTCGACAACATATTGATCCATGTGAGCTCAGACAATGGATCCAAAAATGGTTTAAAACAGCTACGTATTTACAGTGTATTTTGGCAGATAATAGATCAACAGATGCTGCATGACATGACTGCAGAGTGTACAAAAAAGATCTGTTTCATACCCAGATGAGATTGTGTGTGATGCTATACACTATCCAAGTCTTGTAGGTGACTTGATTCAGAAGTAAGGAGGTTCAATTTTTCATGTATATATCTACTGATATTTACTCTTTCTGGGATGAAAATGATGAAAATTGAATTGATCCTTAAACTGCTTGTTGCTGATACACCATGCCTCCAGCTAAAACTGGTTGCCCTGTGAATTTCAAAGCTGCATTCATCAATGGTTTCTTGATTAAGTATTAATTGTTCTTTTAGTGGGGAGAAATATTGCCAGAACACGCTGATTTAGTACAACATGGTGATACTGAGTGAAGCGAGAGGGGGTGCAAAGAAGTAAATTATATGTGAGAGAGGTGGTGGTATGTTGTTCATCCTGCCTGCCTCATGTGTGTTTGAGAGACGGTGTGTGAGCCTGGGTAACTATGGTGTGGGTGTATTCCTCTGTGGCCATGATCTTGGTAATAATATGATGAGTGAATTCTGAGTAGCGCATCCTGGTTGCAGCTCTTTGTCCCCCTGAGATCTAATACAGTTTACTGTGAGTGTCAGCAGCTTTCCTGCAGAACTTGTTACTCTGTTGAGGTCTCTTGTATGAAGCATTCGCGGAATAAAGTGGGTGCAGTCACCCATGGGATGGAAGTGGGGTCATCAGTGGCTGTTACCACAGGTGACCCAGAAAAACAAACAGCAAACAAGGTGCATTTGTAAAAGTCCACCACAGATGGGAGGACATTTTCTTGAATTGTAGATATATTGTAGAGAAAATTGGGTGGACAATGGAAATATATTTGTTCAGCATTAACACAGAGATAAATGTGCAACATACTGTTGTTTTCTGTTCCCGTTTTTTATAATAGCTAGAATGTATCATTATATTAACCAATTTGGCAATATTACAGAGCCAGGGGCCTGTAAAAAAAATAGTACAGTGTTGATTATTTGAAAGTCATCATGACATCTTGGCTGCAGCTTCACATATCTGATCACTTGAAAAAAAAAACTGTCAAATCAGGCAAACCCTCTTCCCTCCTCCTCCAAATTGTCTGTCTTTGTAGTACCACTAGGCAACAGTGAGTGCATCACTGGAAACGTGGAAGTGCGCAGGAGCCGCGCAGGGAAATTGAAGGCAAAGAAGGATCTAAGCAGCCAAAAAGAGCATCTGGTGAATCTCTGTCGCTGAACCATGAGAATCCAGTCGACATTTGTCTGAAAGAGTGGAATAGGTGTCCGAAAAGAGCCTGGTAATCAGCGTCGATGCGCGCAGCCAAAAATGACGACAGTGGGACAGTGATTCTCTTGTTCCAGCTCGTCATTTTTTACAGTCATATGCTTGGATGCAATTCATCTCCTATGTATACAGATCACAAAGGAAGGACTGGAAGCCGAATAATCTCCAACACAGCCGCAAGTGCGCACAGAGACGTTTCATCCTGGAAACCGTTTCCAGCGATTAATTACGCAGAGATATTGATGTTTTGTGGGCCGTTAAAGGATTTTGAACTTTCGCATGAAAACTTACTCTGCGAGTACATTTTTGAACAGGTCGATATAGCCCCAACCTTCACGGGCGATGAGTAATCCACGACGCAGCAACTGATAAACCTGTAAAACCTGGAGTGCGGCTGGCGCGTTTGGATACCTTATCCTGTGCGTCTCTTATTTTTTATTTTTTCATGTGGCTTCTATTTCGGGGTTCGTAAACTACTCGTACATTATTGATATTTCATGGCTGTAGAGTGTAGCAACAGTGGTGTGTGGCGAAAGAGGACGGTGCAAGACTAACCGGGGCGAAGACAGCGCACTTTTATCGCCTTATTTCCAAACAGGAGACATTGCGCACGGGCATTGACGACTGCAGCAACTACAACCCAGACTTTTTTTTTTTAATCATTGAATCCTTTGTTATTTCTTTCGCTGCTGTCATCGTAGTATGTCTGCACTTCGAAAGAAATTTGGGGACGATTATCAGGTAGTGACCACCTCATCTAGCGGGTCTGGATTCAATCAGCCTCCCCCAGAGAAAAAGAAGAAGAGGCAGCGGTTCGTGGACAAGAACGGGCGATGTAACGTCCAGCATGGGAACCTGGGTGGTGAAACCAGCAGATACCTCTCAGACTTATTCACAACACTCGTAGATTTGAAATGGCGCTGGAATTTATTTATTTTCATCCTCACCTACACAGTCGCTTGGCTCTTCATGGCCTCTATGTGGTGGTTCATCGCATACATCAGAGGAGACCTCAACAGAGCCCACAATGACAAGTACACTCCATGTGTGGCCAATGTCTATAACTTTCCCTCAGCCTTTCTCTTCTTCATAGAGACTGAGGCCACTATAGGATATGGTTACAGATACATCACAGACAAATGTCCCGAGGGGATCATTCTCTTTCTTTTCCAGTCGATCCTCGGATCGATCGTCGATGCCTTTTTGATCGGCTGCATGTTCATCAAGATGTCTCAGCCCAAGAAAAGGGCAGAGACTTTGATGTTCAGTGAACATGCGGTGATTTCTATGCGAGATGGGAAACTAACTCTCATGTTCAGGGTCGGCAACCTGCGTAACAGCCATATGGTCTCTGCACAGATCCGCTGCAAATTGCTGAAAGTAAGTGATGCTTCTTTAAAAAAAAGGAGGCGTCCAGTATATTTATCCCATTGTTTATCATGGCTCAGTCCATGTTTTTATTCTTTTTTAGGAAACTGATACTGAAAGGCCTACACACTGACATTTAAGCCTACTCCTAACTGTGCATGAAGCCACGATGCCTTTAACAGACAAAGCTTCATTCTCACTTCCAAACCTTCCACTACAATGATGGAAATAAAGCAAATTAAATTAAAGCAAAACCATATTAGCAATCAGCAGAAAGGCCTTTTATCTATTTCACAAATTACATATTTTGCACAACTGATGGAGGAGTTTGCCAAGAGGCCTTCAGCACAACATCACACCTTGATTAGAACTTCTTGTTTTTAGTGAGACAAAGTGACAAAGTGGCAGTGTGCTTCAACTTGGCATAAATGTGCTGCTGTTCCTAATTAACTCAATATTATCTATGGATGTCCCTGTTGTCTAGTAAACCTAAAAAAAAACTTTTAAACATGGTTTATCCCCCAATTATCCTGGTAATACACAGTACAGCAATATAGTGATAGTACAGGCGATTAAAAGTATAAACTCAGTACATTTTACCAAAGCCACAATGCAACCACATCTATCTTAGTAAATTATTTAAACAGTTTTAAGCATTGTACTTGCTTCTAGTTTCCATGTCCTGACACAGCAGACAAATGCAACAATATAAAAACATTTATAACATTTGATTTTATTCAGTAGAATTGCAATAAATTAAATGCTGAGTTGGATATTCTTGCTGTACAGATGGATCTTTAGATATCATGAAAAAAAATATAGTAATTGTTCTGATAGACAGATGACGTGTTGCTCTGATTGCATGTAAAATCTGAAAACAAAAGGCTCTTGATGAGCGATAGATAAGTCTGCCTTACCCCTTCCTTCCCCCACCAAACATCTCTGTCTCTGTCTCTTCCTGTACGCTTCCTTAGTCTCGCCAGACACCCGAAGGCGAGTTTCTTCCGCTGGATCAGTTGGAGTTGGACGTGGGTTTCAGCACCGGGGCAGACCAGCTCTTTCTCGTCTCACCACTCACGATCTGCCATGTGATTGACACCAAAAGCCCCTTCTACGACCTCTCCCAGAGGTCCATGCAAACAGAGCAGTTTGAAATTGTGGTGATACTAGAAGGAATAGTGGAGACCACAGGTGAGTAATCACAAACATGTTTACAGGCCTACAAACGAGAGCCTGGAGCCTGTCCTACTGTATGTTGTGGCCGCAGGCTGAATGTACAGTAGCTGTGGATGTTGTATTGTTTTTCCGTAACAAATCTTATGAATAATATTGAGCTCTTTCATAGGTGTTGACAGCTGGTATCCAAATAGACTCACTATTGAGCTCTTGATTGCATTTTATTGATTTTTGTTTCTGTGGCAAACATGCAGAGAAGCTAGTAATAGCAGTGGTTAGTATTTAAACATCATAGATGATTGGTTTTGTGTTGCAGGCATTAAGCGAACCATTTATTAATCTATGCATTAAAACACCTTCTAGGTTAAGAGAAGCAGAGCCAAGTTTCAAGCTAAATATGAACGTTGAACACTCTCAAACTCCGGTGGGTCAACGTTATGCTTTATACATTTTCTTTTTCTCATCTGAAACAAATTGCATTCCTCCGCCTTTGTGCCCGTACAGCACCTACCTCGTGGCTGCTGTTCTCAGAGGGGATAATAATTTGCTTTCTAAGGTCCCTTTGGAATTAGGGAATTCCATTTCCACAAGATGAGTAATGCCCCAAGTAAAATTCTTCCACTGTGGTCATTTTAAATTCAACCGTTTATTTGACACAGCTGATATAGTGTGGGGAGAGCTCCTTCAGTGCTATAGAGGGAACAGTTGTAATGGGTTGCTTCAGAGAAAACAGCATATGGAGATGTGACAGAGAGGCTTGCAGGCTGACACTGCAGACAGCAATTAGCAGAGATATTCAGTTCCTAGTAGATCGTTTTAATAGTCATTTAATTCAGTTGCATAAAAGTCTTTTTGCAGTTGAGCTTTATCTGATTCTTCAGTTTATGACATGGTGTACATGGATATTAGTGTATGGAGTATCGGTACAGTCTGGGTACAGCGTTAGATATGTCCCACAACATTTGGTCTGCTCTGTGTTTGAACGCCTGATTCTCTCAGTTACAGTTTCTTGTTTTGTTTCTTCTTCCTTTCAGTCAATTATTTATTAATTTAAATTATAAAACAGTAAACACGGTGTTGGTGTAAAAATCTAAATCTCAAGTTTTTTTTATGAGAGTAATTGTAATGTGCAGGTAATTAACCTGACACCTGAAAAAGGATTGCTTTGATTTTATATAAAAATAATCAGTGTAGCGATGTGATTGGATTATCATTAGCAAGCATTTATAGTATTACAGCAACTGTCACAGAAGCATGTGTCATCACATTGTCTTCATTTATAATAGTCACAATCTCAGTTTTAATTAAACTGGCCTGGCTTGTTGTGCTCACGGCTTTACTTCACAGAAATCTCTGCATCGAGGAGCAGTTGTGGTTGTGTGAAGTTGGTGGAAAGGCTGATGTAGAAACAATCTATGGTTAAAAATGTATGTACAGTGAAAGTCTAAATCCTCAGACGCTTTCATTTCTGGCCAATGTAACTCTGTTTCCATGGCAACCTCTCCTTGAGTATTCAGGATTGCAGCACTGCACCTAAACTTAGGTTTTTTATTCCTATGGTATAGGAATCATAACACAATTTCAGTAATAAACCAGGCAAACATGTGATGGCGAACATGAAATGAAATTGCTTTGTTGACAACATCACTTGGTATTAAGGAGGATCTCTTCTGAAATAGGAAAAAGCACACAGAGGCGTTACTGTACTATGAAGTGGTTGCCAGAACAGGTGATACAGCAGAGAAAAAGAATAAAATGAAATATTCAGGAGGGTTGTTGTTTACTAGCGAGGAAACTGCCCAACTCCCCACATCTATGTTGGTTGTTGTTTTTTTGTTGTTATGTGTGAAAAACCACTGTCTGGAACACAAGTTAAAATACTCACCGCTGCAGATTAAAGCTACACAATGTGTCATTGTTCTTCTTACTAGATAATAACAGACACAGCAGTGTACCCTTTTTGACATAGTAATCTCGCCAGAGGTCACACAAAAATATTTTGGACTGACTGTAGTTGCGCACAACAAAATAAAAAAGGAGTGTATTTCGCTTTAACCTCCGACAACCTCTACATTGTATAAAAAGGCATGAGCTGTCCCTCATGCCTTTGGAAGCGGAGCATTTTTGATCACCAACTCAGTATGATGCATGTTCCAAATGAGACATGTAGGATGTCTGGTAGCAGCATATTTTCTTCTGGAGTAATGCCAGTTGTGGCTTTGTGGTATCGAGTTGGTTTTCTAACACGGCTGCGGAAAGATGTTGTGCTGCAGAGGATAAATTGGCATTACATCACATTGCAATTAACGTACTGTACATGCTGTCTGACTGCTTGCCCTGAAAAACTAGCTAGCCGTAGGGGAGAAAAAAGTACAAACAAGGAGCCTTTAGAAATAAGGAGAACAACAAGAATATTGTCTGACACAATAACAATCCCCCCAACAAGTATCTTCAGAGTTACTACAGTGTCATTGGCTACAGAGCTAATATGCATGGCAGGCTCTGTGTGAGCGCTTTAGCCCCCTGTTACTTTGTTAATGTGAATCTCACAGCACAGTCACACCAAGCGGAGTTACTTCTGCATTATTTGTCCATTGCAGGTGTTTAAAAAACAAAAGAGGAATTTAATACAGCTCAAGTAAATAACAAATAATGACTGCAGGCAGCTGATATAGGATGTCTGTATATAGTGCTAATACTAATTAATAATAAATACCATGTAAACAAGTTATTGAAATGTTGTCATTATGTTGAGCGATAAGTGCAGAGTCCGCAGTGCAGTAACATCTGCTCAGCTGTGACATGGTCTGCTGGACAACAGCTCACAGTTTCTGTTCTGTTATCTCAGTATTGTTTCTTTGAATTGTTATATGATATTCATATATATGCAAGTATGCTTTATGTGCTACTTATTTGCAACAGCCATAATGTTTTATGAGAAATATAATACTGCCCAAACTATGTTTTTTATCAACATAATGAAAAGTTGGGGTTAAACAAACTCCCGGAATGTTAATTGAGACTCTTGCAATACAATATCAGTTTTTAGCTTTAAAGCATCATTAAACTTTTTATGGTTATGTATGTATCACTGTGAAAATATGCAATATATATACCAAAGTGCTTTTGTTACCTAAACATGACCACGGACTACGAGTACCATGTGCTAAATAAATTTAGCACCCTTAGAAAAACAAGATTACAACTCAGAATGTACTGTACACAGTAAATGTACATTTTAGGACACAGAGCGGATGTGTATTAAGCCAATATCAGCTAAAACTATTTCACATCACACTGATGTTTTCACTTATGTTGCCTAATTAAACCTCTCATCAGAACTCTGCATGCATGTATGAATTTGTTCGTTCTGTAGAGCCCTTCAGGGTGGGACAACTTATCCTATAATTCTTATTGGCCCTTAGAGTTTGGTGACATGATGAATGAAAACACCTGTGTGGGTGCATTTTGACTTGTCATAGTTGGAAAAGCACAGGTATTAATGATGTCATTAACAAACTCCCAGTGTCCCAGCAACGAATGCATGAATGTTGTGCAAAATTTAACCAATTCAAGAAATTTGCAAAATAAAATAAAAACTAGAGACCATTTTGTGATGGATCACACCAGCCATGAAGCCCGTCAACATGTTTTTGCTCTGGCCCATGAGTACTCAGTAGCCATTACTACATTATTATGAGTACTCATGGATGGGACCACAGCCACCTTCGAACTCTGTCTTCATTTCATTTCAGCTACACACCTGTGAAGGTTTGGGACTACATCTTACCATGAATGTTATATTACTGTGTTTAAAACATCTGTCCACAGAGATATAAACACCTGGAAAAGCACTCAAAACCACTTCTGTAGCAGTTCCTGCTACATTAGCTCATCTCCAGAAGGACACACACACACACAGACTCAAAAGAAAGATGAAAACAATACTAGCCCTGCTGTCACAGATGGTAATAAATGTGTGTTTCCATCCACTACTGTTTTGCGAATGTTCATTGGGATAAACAGCCTGGTGGCGCTAATTTTCTAGTCTGATGCCATCAAACCATTGTAGAAGAAATGGGTGCAACGAGATGACATAATTAAGTAACAGTCAAAGTTAAAGTGGTGGAAAACACAGTTGAAGCTTCAGTGGACGTTTAATGCTTGCACATGCACATCGTGTATTTCATTTATTTGCTTATTTTTTTGTTTCCATCACACACATTTTGTTTTTATTGATACACCAGCTTTTCCACCTCAGAGAAAAGAGAGAAAAATGTTTTTGCTTTATTTTTGAATTGAAAATGCACATAAAAGAACAGGTGGATGGTAACATACTTAATGTCACAGCAAGCCAAAAAGCACAATACTAGGACCCTGAACGTTAATAAGGCCTCTTCTAAAATGTATCGTAAATGTAATGTAGATGAAATAACGATCTATTAATAGCACTGCAGAATCATTTTCACTGTACCACTACAGAGAGGATGATGACCTGAGTTATTGAGAACTACTACATCAGTCTTAAAATATATCAGAACTTTAGATAAGTGTCCCATTAACACCAGTGATGCTGTTCAACACTTTAAAGGCTTAAATACAAAGCCAGAGGCAATCTGTTCATTAGCTGATTCTTGAGGACCTAAAATAAACTGTAGCTGCCAGTAAGAGACGTTTAGGTTCCCCCAACCATGAAACTAATCAGTGTATTGCAACTAAATTCATTTAATGATTTTCAGTGTTTGGTTTATACAGGATGCAGTTACACCACAACACTCCTGCCTGAATGCTGCAGCTCCTGTATGCTGAAGATCGAATGTGTATTTATGTAATTTAAGACCAGGCAGTTTTCAGATTAGAAAAAAAAATAACTGACAAAAATAAACAAGCTGATGATTTACTTCATGTGGAAACTCATTTTCATTACAGAACACAAAGAAGTCTGTCAGTGCATTAGTTTATCCCTGACATTTTGTATAGTGTGTTTGGGGTATAACATGGTAGCAAAACAGTGT